ATATCAGATTAATGTACCTAAAATACCACCCGAATATTCACAAATTGATAATAGTTTCAATATCTTGGAAAATATTGTATAATTTTGAGTAATTATTAAAATTTGAATTACGTGAACAAATAATTCAAATACTATATATCTTTTCTTTTTGTGTGTGTAAACTTTCAAATAGTATATCTTATATCCAAGTTTTGTATCTATTGGTACAAGTTAAACTGTCTCTTTCAAATAATATTTTATTTAACCAAAAATGATTATTATTTCTTTTTAACATATATAAGTATGTGATGTAAAATTGAGATGCATCTAGAAACCCAACTCAAAATGGACTACTTTGGCTTTTAGTTCAATATTTTTTTGTATCTCACTATTCGTCAAATAAATAACAAAAACAAATACGGTTTGGGCCAAAACCTGGTCAAGAAATACTTACGTGTACAATGTCATGACGTTTTCGTCGATAAACGGCAAGAAGCCAGCAAGGAGTGCATACAAAACAATCCCGCACGACCAAATATCAGCCATAGCTCCGTCGTATCCTTTATTCCGTAAAACCTCCGGCGCCACGTAAGCCGGTGTCCCGCACCGCGTATGTAAAAGATCATCGCTGCTACCACGCCTGCCACCTAGCCCTTCTGGCATCATCAATGCGGAAAGTCCGAAATCCGTTACCTTAAGATCACCTTCTCCGTCAAGCAACAGATTCTCGGGTTTAATATCGCGGTGGAAAACACCGCGGCTGTGGCAAAAATCCACCGCGGATATCAATTGTTGGAAATACTTTCTGGCTAGATCCTCCGGGAGCTTCCCATCTCTATCGATCATTTCGAAAAGCTCTCCGCCGTTGACGTACTCCATGACGAAGAAAATCTTCTTCTTTGTAGCCATTACTTCGCGGAGCTCGACCACGTTTGGATGACGGAGGAGACGCATGACGGCGATCTCTCGTTCGATTTGCTCCATCATGCCACGACGTTTGAAAACGTGGTCTTTTTTGATGACTTTGATTGCCACGTCATCGCCGGTGGAGATCTCTGTTCCGTGATACACTTTGGCGAAGTTACCGGTTCCGAGAAGTCTTCCGATGTTGTATTTGTCGAACAAGACAGTACTACTACGGTTTGATTCTTCCATTGTCTTTGTCTGACTAGTTACAAGTATATGTGAGACTAATTATGTGGAAATTTGTGATTTGGTTACATATCTATATATATAAGCAGAAATTATTTGTGGAATTTTTTTATTTATAATGTTATCTACTTTGTTTGATATGTGACGACTAAGTGAACTGTGAAGAAATGTTCTAATCTTATCTAAACAAAGTGATGTGCCTAAGATCTGGCAGCTAGCATAATTAAATACGACCAAAGCCAAAAGAATAACCAAGACGAAATTGATTCGCGAATTGAACTAAATCGGGGTTTGCTATTTATGTTGAGTGCCTAAAAAAGGGTTATAGAACATGATAAAACTAGATATAATTAACAAACTAAAGCATGAAAAATAAATATCTCGAGTTACGATGCAATGATCATAAGAGAATGATTTCAATAAAAGTGTAACAGGTGATTTAAATCCATTTCTATGTAAATAAATCCTTTTTTTAACCAGTTAAACAATGGTCTCGCACATTTCTGACCATGTATTCATGTAAATAAGTTCTTAAAGTTTTCAGAATAGATTTTAAAAATATAAAAGTAACTCTCTTATCCTTATACAAAAATTGTGGACGCCATGAAATTGACGTGGAATCGCCGTTAATGCTACGCATGTTTTGAAGTAGATACGCATTAATTAAAAATAGTAAACTTGTCCCGATAAAATTTCAATGAACTGTCTTTTTTTGGTAAGGCAAGATGTGACCTTTTCTACTTGGCCCTTAAATATTTTTAAAACAATTTCTTGACCTATTTTTCATAGAGGATTTTTCATTTTCTTTCGAAAAGCTTTGAGTCTTTTCCTAGTTGGGACGATTGTATCGGAAAGTGGGCATTTCTAATACGTCCGTGAATCTATCGACCAAATCTTCCTTTCTACATCTTTGCTAATTTCTTGGTTTGATGGATTCTTCATATTTTGCTACTCAAAACAACACACTCAATTTTTCCAATTGTTTTCTTACAATTTGATGATTTTTCTACATACATGAAAATCTCATTATAACCGTGTATTTGGGTGGGATACTGTTATTTTCCTCTATCATAATCAAAGGTACATCTTGTAAAGCTAAATCTAAATTTTAACAAAAAAAGAAGAAGCTAAATCTAAATTTGTTCGATTTAAAGATCAGGATTATTAAGATAATATATAACTAATCATTTTAAGGAACATGTATAACAAGTCCAAGAAACTTTGTGATGTGTCATGATTTGGACCCACGATTAATGACAACAATTATGTTTACACAAATGTTAATACTCTAACGAAATACTATAACGAGTTTTACCAAAAAAACAAAAAAAAAAAAAAAAAAAAAAAAATACTATAACGAGATATGTATTTAAAATTGAAGAGTAAAAGGGTAACATCACAAACATAGTACACTATTTTGTGGCTAATTGGGTGATCACAGACATATATCTACTTATCGCGCTGCATTTCCGATTGTTTGTTATTTTCGGGTGATTAGGTTGTCGAAACTAGCTGCTAAAACAAGCCATGCCGTGAATTTTGCATCACATTGATCAGTCAAATTTCAAGCAGTAGTTGATTGGAATATGCCCTAAAGAGTGAAAAGATTTGCAAATCCACCTAAATAAGCCATCGTTTGCGCTGCACATGGTTTAAATGTTGCATTACTTAATTAGAAAACAATTTGATCAAATGCATAGGAGTTCTACTTCGAACGAATCTAAAGATGTTACCTCATCTACCTTATGTTTTCCTGATGATAGAAGACCCCCTTACCTAAAAATGTTGTTCAAGGGTAAACAATAAATACATATATATACATGTGTGTGTGTGTGTGTACAAGCACGATTCATATTATATGTATGTTGCCAAAACCTTTGCTATTTGATGCACAATATGTGATGATGTAAACTTTATATATAAGTACAGAATGTTTGAATGGAGCTTAGACAATTTCTTGAACCAGAGAAAATAAAATAATAATTGGTGTTGTTGATAAAAACTCAACATGCCAAGAAAAACAGATTGCTGAAGTATGGATCTTCAAATTCTATCATTTACATAAATTAAAATGAGTGACCTTGCAAGGAAAAATGTGAAGAAAAATGGAAAATAAGAGTTCTTTGTAAGAAAGGGGAAGTTTTATTGAAATGAAAATATTGAAGACTTGGTAATAAAGAAGAATGCAAAAACCGTGAAGAATCCTACAAAATTTTGTCTACTTCTTTTTTTTTTTTTCTTTACTTCAAAAGTACAAAATTTTCTCTACTTTCTGTAGCTTCTCTTTTTGTTAGAAAGTTGATAAATCTTTGCAAAGGACGACTGTACTGGTCTGAAAGATCCATGTGACAGAACGAACTGTTAGATTAAAAATAATTACGCATTTACGAACTGTGTATTTGTGAAGATATATTTTGAAAGACACTTCGTTAACAATTTTGATTTCCTACATATATCTCCGTGACAATTCCCTAATCAATTAACACATTTCTTCGATCAGAGTTTGTCGTTTGCGTTTAGAATTGCATTTCCATGTTACAATATAATACACATTACTCTCATTTGAACATTCTTTATTAAAATGATGTACAAATGTGTTTGATTTTGCGTTTTATTTTAGAACTATCAATAGATTTGATGAGAAAGGAAAGTTTTTTTTTTTTTTTGATTATATGAAATGAAGCGAACTAATAAAGCTGGAACCAACAACTCTGAAATCATTAAAGTCAGAAACAAAGTTCACCAATATTCCATGTCTTCCAAATTTCCCAATCTCTTCAGAAATATCAGTATTGACTTCAATTAAAGCTACAAATATGTCTTAAAGATGCAATCATCTTAATCACAGAAAATACAAATATACACCAAGATACACATATTTGACCACATAATCATCGTGATTTTTAGTCCAACGACTCACTTACCCAAGTTAAAACTAAAAGGTGTAACAGTAGGACAAAAATTAATTGTAGTATTGATATTTTGTCGACAAACACCAAAAAAATTCAACAACATTAACAGTACAAAAGTGGGAAGACATGACACATCAACTTGTGCTACCTATTCAACAAACTCATACATTATTGGCTGCTGTATTAGTTATGCATACAAAATGTGTGTTTGAGAGATGCAGTTGCCAGGGAACATGTTCTCAAGTTAATCTAACCATAAAAACACCTAAAAGAATATTCTCGCAATATTCATGTACACAAATGTAACATGGAATCAAATATATACATATAAAATGTAGAAAAAATGTAAGTACAACTAATTATATACTAACATATACCTATTTTGTTAAATAATAAGCTAATCATGCACCTCATGGAATAAAGATGTACGAGCAAACCATTTAAATAACAAGAAAAGCAACGACTCATTCTTATAATGCAAATATCATGACCTTAACATCTTATTCACGCAAAATGAGATAATATATGATCGCATGAATCAAAAGACATAAATTATATGTTTACAAAGGAAACTAGGGATTAAAACGCCTCGAGAGAGACAGAGTGGAAAAAGAAACGATATAATATATACATGACTCGAGAAAAATTAAGGACCAGCCTATTAACAACTAGGTTACATTGCTAATCTCACTTAACCACGCGTTAACTAATAGATTAAGCTTTTTTCGATACTACCCATCTCTTAAAATATAATGAATGATTAAAGGCTAAAGGTCTCCTCCCGCATGCAAGTAGATCGCACAAAAAATCTAGAAACAAGAACAAGCCAGAGTTTAGATCGTATCTTCTTACCTTAATATGGAGATAACCAAGAGAGACAGAGAAAGATTGTGTAAGTGATAGAGAGAGATTGAGACATAGAGAACGAAGACAGGCCAAAGAGATCAGCACCGGAATCTGACAGAAAGAGCAGTGAGCACGCAAGAGAAGCAAGTGCAATGATATGCAAATTGCCTTTGTGTGCTCACTCTCTTCTGTCAGTTTCTTTGCGTTTCTCTTGTCCCAACTCTTTCATTCACAATTAGTCCAACTTCAGAGATCTACAAGATGAAACAAAGAAAACAAGAAACGATGAGAATCTTTTAAGCTTTGTGTTAGATCTGAGTTTTAACTGGAGAAGACAAAGAATCAAAGAGAGGGAGGGAGAGAGGGAGAGATATGAGAAGAGAAGAGATTCCATTTGAGACCCTTTAGAAGATCAAATCTAGGGTTTTTGTCTAAATCGAGAAAAAACATAACCATAAAAAGCAAAAAAAAGAAAGAAAGAGGGTAAAGAAACAAAGATCTGATGAGAAGAAGATAAGAGAAAACCTTATCTCTCTCTCTATTTCAAAGAGTCTTACCTTTCTTTATGGCTCTTGTCGCTTTCTTTATCTCTCTTACATGCAAAGGGAACAGATGTCTGGCGACGCATTGAATTGACAGAACATTTGAATTTATAGAGAGACCTAAAAATGGCAATGAACTTGAGATTTGAGAGTGAACAATGAATGGTCTTTTGATGATGGAAGGTATATATAAAGATTAGGAACCCGTTTGCCTTTTTTTCTTTCTTTTGTTGGCTAACAATTTGCCTCTAATATGAATATTTATTAATTTGCATTTAATTTCTCATCTCCTTTAATTAGATTATTATTATTTTTTTCGTTAAATGTCTTCTCTTTCCTTTGTTGGCGGAAGACCAACATCAACAAGCCCTAAAGACTTGCAAAATTATGGAAGATATATTAAACAAAAAAAAAAAAAAAAAGACTAAGCTCTTTTGTTTTTTAAATTTTTTTTTGTACTGAATGACAATTTTGTGTTACAACTTGCAACATATTAACATAACTTCGTTTTTCGATCAGCGTAATTTTAAGTGAAGCGCGTTTTGGGGTTTTTCTTGTTGTCAAGAAAAAAAACGGGATTATGTGGTGGTAATAAGAAAAGAAAAAAGGCCATGTTTATTTGTGGACCAATTTGAAATATTTTATAATTTGTTTCACTATTATGAAACATTGATTTTTCTTAAGATGTTTTTGTACATGTAGGCACCTAATCTATCATATATAGAAGTTAGGGTTTTGAGTTAAGTGTTTATTTATTTTTGTTTGAAATCTTTTTGATAAATTAGAGGCCACATAAAACAAATAACATGTTAAGAAAAACATTTTCATCTTGTAAACATTTAAACAAAATAAAAAATTTACTTTTTTTTTCATTTCTACATACTTAATTAACATTTGTTTAATTGATTTTCTATTAATTGTTTTTCACCAAATAGATAATGATTTTTTGAGAGTGGATAATGGTGTCTTTGACTCAACTACACGATTGTTGATTATTTAGAATAAAGTTGAAATCTCTATAACCCCGATTTTGATGAGCACAAAATTGTAGTAGCTCTCATACTATGTAAAAAATGTTGATTACTTAACACTATAGGCCAATACTATAATAACCGAGAAATCTCTAAAAAAGAATATACTTTCTAAATATGATGAAGAATATACAAAATTAGACCGTTTATGGTTGGATATGATTTGAGTTAGATTACACTCATGAGTTAAGGCTCAAATATGATTAACTTTTTATTTTATTTTCTATAAATCTTATCGGTTGATTCGGTTAGTTTTGGTAGAAACACACTGAAGTGCTTCAGAGTAGACTTTTTCCCGAAGGACCACCACACTGTCTGTCCCGAATTTGTAATGTTTTCCGATTAATACTAAGGGTAGTCAAGCCGTCTGCATTTCTAACTATCAAGTAAACCAATTGGGCTAAGCCCCAACTAACTGACTTTCCAAACAAATATAATTTTTGTTTCCAAAAAACATCGAACTTGAGTCTGGAAGTTTCACCCTTCCCCAAAACTTCCCTTACCACTAAACCACAGATAATTGGGCAAATATGATTAACTAAAATTTCTTTTCTCTATAAATACTGTTCTTAACCTAACATCTATATATATATCGGTAATAAAATATGTTTCTTTGTACGTAGATGTATCCCCAACAGAAAAAGGTTTTTGTGAACCACGTTTAATTTATGTCATGTTTTTTATATCTATGTCATCTTGCTCACATCCTTTAAAAACATTTATATTGAACACTCTTTTAAAAGAAAAAAATCTTTATGTTCACTTATAAAACTTACCGAGGAAAAAACCTCTTTATAGGCTCTACAAGTACAATTATCTTATAAAACTTATCATTTACTTTCTACCATAGTTTCTGTAAATGTATTTTACAATAACATCATGATCTTATAAACTTATCTTATAAATGTATTTTACAATAACATCATGATACTTATTCTATAGAAATTCTTTAAAATTCTATAGAAAATTAAAGAAGTAATAACCTTCTAAATATATTTAAAGAAACTATAGAACTTGAGTTTAATTTGGGTTTGGTCCAATTAATAATAATGTCATCATGGATGATCAATAAAATCTTATTTTACTTCAATATTTGCTTGCATCTTCTCCAATAATGTAGAAGATTATATTCACTCTCTAGAATGACTAAAGAAATAGAACACCGAATATTATCTCTAGATACATTGACATTTTAATCACATGTTTTGGAATCTTGATCCCCTAGCTGAAAGAGTTATGTCGAGTGTCGACTCAATCTAAGATTCTAAATCTAAATTATTTAAAATAGGAATTAAGTTATCTAGATAAAGCGATGGGTAACGAATAGATTCAATGGAATATGTCTCGAATACACCAAAAGAATAACAAAGAAACAAAGATAAAGTAGTGAAGCTTTATCGAGAAAAAAAGTATAAGAGAAAATGTTGGCATGCATTGGACGGGGCATATTTAAAGTGACGTGGTTTCACTATAAACCAGAGAGTCGCATTAATCAGTCTGACCGTTGATTTGAGACATTAATTCCCTGCCGTTGGATCTGTCACTTTTACAAGACACATTCTCAAACTTTTCAAAGTGGTGTTTGATTGATTGTTTTGGTTTTCTCTATATAATATTTTTATTTATATACTTCTCTTTTTGTTTAACATTTTTGATTAGGCAAAATCCAATCTATAACTTAATTTTTAATGTGTACAGTAGTAACACATTATTTGAAGTCGAACTCCGGAAAGAAAAACAGGACGGTCTTGACATAAGTAAAAGTGTAAAACAAAGGCTATAAACGATAAGCTAAAGGCATCTCCTAGAAGCTGGATTCAGTCTTGTACTCTAAGTCTAAAACTGAGTGAGTTGTTGGATTTTGCGAGCTTGGAGAAATTTGCAGCGTCCTTTTCCACTCGACTCGATTTCTTCGCTTCTTTTCTCGCATGTTTTGAACCCAAAACTGCTTAGTTTCGCTTGTCGTTTGCTGCTACTTCCATTACCACTCTCTTCATTTTCATCTGCTTCCCTACTCAAGTGCACAAAACATTATATTCAGATTCTTACAACAGATTGAGATAAATGAAGGGTTCAAATAGATCTCGTAAGGCTTTGATTATAGCTAATAGAGCATAGAAGCAACCAAAAAAAAAACAAAAACTAACTAACCATGCAACTTCAACCTCGCCCTTCAAATGTGTAGTGCAAGTTCCCCAACTGAAGCGGACCAGTGATGGGAATCCAAACACAGAATGTTTGTGTTGCACTAACCACGCCTTTGTCTCAGGATCTAAATTGCATTACAAACATATTAGTGCATAACAGTCGCTAAAACATAAACGGTTTAGAGGAAAATGTAGTACCTCCAGGATATCCAGAACCAAAGTTTCTATTTATATCTTCTCCGGTTTCCTCTACCAACCATTCTTTCAACGCTCTGTCTCTTGTCACCTTAGCCACAATACTTGCCCCACTAACAATCGGAAATAGACTGTCAGCTTTCTTTGAAACGACGAACTTGATCGAAGGAAACCTCTCAGACAATTTTATTCTGTACTTGTCGGGATCTCCCACGGTATCCAGATAAGCCTGCATATGCAATTTTGAGTTATAAACCTTCTCTCTCAAAAGATGATGCACTCGTTTCAATCGAAAGCTAATCACCTCTGTCAGAAGAACTCCCATGTCTAGTACCCTTTTGATAAGCCCCATTGCAGAGTTATGTGAAATCTCATTTAAATTAGTCTTGTTTCTGTCAAAAAACAAACCAAAGCTATCTGATATAAGACCCATTTAAGCCTTTCCATCAGTTAGCTTCAAAAACATTATACAAATACTAACTTTGCGAGCATCTTGGCTGAGAGTTCCCTAGGATCAATGACATCAACAGCCCATCCAAGTGACTTGTCAAGCTTTAAGCTTTCATATAACTCTTCTCTTTTCTCCTCTTTTAGAGTCTTCGAATCTACAAGCAGAGCAGCAAAAGGCTTCAGGGGAACAAAAAAAGACAAAAGACAGTGAATGCAATCAAAAGTTCCATGCTTTACTTATGCTCTCCTAAATTGGAACGTCAGAGTAGCATGCTTACACTCACAATATACAAAGCATTGTGTAGCAAAAAACTTCAGGGGTACAAAAAATGGCAAGAGACGAATGTGATCAAAAGGTCCATGCTTTACTTGTGCCCTCTCAAATTGAAATGTCACAATGCCATGCTTATACTCACAATATACAAGCACTATGCGGCAAAAGACTTAACGGGAACAAAAAGAGTCAAGAGAATATAAATATGATCAAAAGTCTCATGCTTTACTTACGCCCTCTCAAATTTGAAAACGTCGCAGAACAATATGATTACAGTAAGTCACTAACAAGTGAAGGTTAAACTGTGTACACACATAAGTGTTCCACTGGTAGAAGAAGAATCTATTCAATACATTCTCAAACCCCAAAACAAACATATCAATGCTTCAACATGAAGGAATGAAAAGTGAGAATTTTTACCTGCAAAATGGAGAGAAGCAAGAGACGACTGATAGGAAATGGGACAATACATACATCCATAAACCATAGGACCTGTAATATCAACAGAATTGAATCAGATTCTGCTTCTCACTCACCAAAATTGATCAGATACAAG